CTCGGGCTCCAGTTGTGTACTTCCTAGCTTTCTGAACTTTAGCAAGCTGCTTGACCTCCCTAAAGCTGTTTCCTATGTGTAAAAGGGGAATAAGAATTCTGCCTGTGCCATAGGATTGTTACAAACGAGAATTTAATAAGCTCAAGTTGAAGGCTAAAACTCATTGACTGCTATTATTATTAATAAGTGTTTAATAACTAATCAGAGACCAAGAATAGGCACAGTTGATTTTTCCTTCAACTAATACCTAAGAAGAAGACTCTCACAAGAATGAAGCATAAAGTCATGAACAAACACAGAGAAATGTTAATAATCGGTTTGTTCAAAGTATATACTGGATACTACCATATTCAGTCTTCACCATAGTCTTCCCATCACTGCTGTTATGGTTCCTGTAGTAATTGGCAGTCAGTTACCTATCCATAGAAAGCGCAGAGACTGACAGATCTTCTAATTCCTAACCCAGTGCTTGGTCTCCCAGAGGACAGTCCATTCTGTTTTTAACCCTTGTCTCACCTTTTACACTCAAGGAAACTCCCACCACTCATCCAAGGTGGGATTGACTAGGAAGGAACCAGGGACTACATTGAATGATGCTTACAGTGATCATCGCTTCCCCTCTAGGGTCTGATTCTCCATCCAGTAGCCAACGTGACCTTTTAAAAACAAAAACCAGCTCATGTTAGTCCCTTGCTTAAAATTCCTCAGCATTTTCTCCTGCAATGAGAACAAATTCCAGACTTTTTTTAACCACGACTTAGAAGGCCCTACTTAGGCTGGCTCCTTTCTAATTCATCTCTATTCTCTCCATGATTCACTGAGTTCCAGCCACTCTGACCTTTTGTCCCTTCCTCTAGGGCCTTTGCATTTACTGTTTACCTCGAAACAGGTCACCTCCTTAGAGAGGCATTTCCTGACCACCAGATGAGAAACAGTCTTCCCCTATTAATCTCCATGTGACACAGTTGCCCTCAGCTGAACTGTCCTGCTTGCTCCCAACTCATACCCTGATTTCCCCTGAATAGAAGTTCCACAAGGACAGGGACTTCTTGCTCAACACTATCCAAAGACCCTGGAACGTTGCCTGGCACTTAGAAAGCACTCCATACCTGCTTTATTGAATGAATGAAATGGGTGTGGGAGGACAGAAGGGCATCTTTCATCTTTTATTTTTATATTTCAGGTGAATTTGCATTTTTTATGAAGTGAATTTATTACTTCTCTAATAAAAAAAGAAAAAACAATTCTAAAAGAAAATAATAAAATCAGCACGTGTAATCAAGCCAAAGAAAACAACACAAAACCCTTCCCAAGAATCCGTTCTGTAGATCGGCGCAATTCACACTGTTTCCGTCTCCACACTGTTAAACCTGAGACATTGGCCAGTTCAGTGATCTGCCTGCTAGTCCATACACATCCTTGGACTTTTAAATAACAGTCATCTCCCTCGGGTTTATGGGAAGATTGCTGTTTGAACACTCGACTTTATCCCCATCTCTTACTCATAGTGCATTTCTTTCTACCTCTGTGCTTGTGTTGGTGCCCTTATGTTACCTCTCCTGGCATCCCTCCCCCACTGTGCCACCCATTCCTCCACTTCCCATGCCCCAAATTCTGACCATCCTCTAAGGTATGTTCAAATCTATCAGGAAAAATGGCCACAATAATAGACAACTGTATTTTTTAAAAGCTCTGTGCTTTTTCAAAAGGCTCCTTATCTTTCTGTCACCCTCAACTAATTACAGTTTGGTGAAAGCAATATTTTTATAGACCTAACCACACTGACATGTCACTATATATTTTCCAACTGAGTATTAAAAAAAAAAACACTCACTTCTAGGAGAAAAATGCTGTCAGAGGTGGATGGGAGCAATTGCTTAGAATCTTTCTCAAACAAGAAAATACCAGAGGGTACAAAAACCTTCCCATCACAATCCTGTGAGGAAGGTGCTATATATATGATCATTATCCTGAATTTACAGAGACATGGAAGCAGTGGAAAGCTGTGGCTGGCACACTTGAGGAGATTATTTCAGGTACCCTTGGGTTCTATTGTCTATGTCATACTATGACAGCAGTGCAGCACTGAGTGAGCAATTATGGTGTGCTAAACAAATGCATTATATGCATTCTCATTTAATCCTCCAAAACCCCCAAGTGCTCATTTCTGTTATAGCCCCATTTTACAGATAAGCAACTGGCACACAGAGAAGTTCAGCAGTTTTCCCAGGGTGACAAAGCTACAAATTGTTATTACTGTTTTGAATTCCTTTCAACTGAATTCAAAATTCCCATTCTTTGCTACTGTACTACAGCACATATATCTCTGTCTAAAAACTATACTTAAAATGAGATAATCATTAATGAGACCAAAACTGAAAGCATCCAGTTCTATAATCTTTCACCTCTTTTCAATGGTTTTTAATTTATACATACTTTTTATTTAACATCAAGAATTCAGTTATGCATGGAAGTTAAATACAGCATGCCTTCTTTTTAATGGACCACTTCTATTTTCTATTCTCCAGTATTTCATGCATTACGATGCTGGCTTGGCAATTGTTAAGCCACAGAATCAATTGTTCTAATTTTCACACTTCATTAATAAATGGAGGCCCCAGACATTATGGAATAGATCCATAGATCCCCTGGGAGTTGAGAGAATGTTCCAAAAATGCCACTTAGAAAAACAAAAATGCCTAGTGGCAGACAGAGTCTATAGATCAAAACTTGCCAGATTCAAGATTTAAAAGTGGACTCTGGATTAGTGCTTTAAGAAAATTTCAAGTTTTAATAGGTAAAAAGGAAAAAAAAAACAGATTTGGGGATCTATGCGAAAGCAGATCAGAAACTGTGGTCTTGCATGGAACTAGGAAGCTAGCTTCACAGTCCTTGATGATTTGGAATAGAAAGGATGAGAATGCTTTTCTGCCAGACTTTTAACAGTTTGTAGCCCAGGACTTAGAAGTACAAAAATTTCAGGAGCTAAAATGTATAAATTGGGTCCTTGCTGCAATTTTCCTGTATGCTTACAATTGTTCCTTTTAAAGTGGTGAGAAAATAAAAATCTGTAAGAGAGTTATTAGGGAAGTGACCAACACTGTGGTTTTAGTCCAGGCAATCACTTTATGTAATTCCTTTAAAGGATAAAAACAGGTTGTTTTACAGATAGAGCAGTAAAATAATGGAAGCAGCCAATATGAACTGAACACTTAACCTTGTGTTCTACATACATAAGGTGGACACTGTTCATATCTCTATTTTTAGAAAATGGAGGCAGAGTGAGGCTTAGAAGTGTGCCTAAAATCACATAGCCAGCAAGGGACAGAGCAAGGATTATTATTCAAGTAGTTTCTTTTTCTGTATAGACCCAGTGGGCTTTGAAGGCCCCTGCAATCTCCAGAGACTAACAGGACCACCAGATAATTATAAAATCATTAAAAAACCAAACATGGTCTGAGACTCTCAACAGACTCAGGAAGTTTTCTGAAAACATTAATGCCATAAACCTCCATGTTAAAAGTCTGGGGTCCAACAAACCTGTGTTAAGACCCTGGTTTTACTGCTTAACAGTTGTATGGCCTAAAAAGCCCCATTTTATTATTATTATTTTGTTTTGAATCTATGAAAGAGGAGTCATTCACCACAGGAGATGGTTGTGGGACTAAATGAGATGATGCATTTAAAGTTCTTAGCACAGGTTTTGGACATGGTCATCGAGCAATAAAAGATAGTCATTATTGAAATTGTTTTGAGTTTGTGCTAGACTCTCTGCCTCAATGTAATGCTAAAGCACAAAGGGCAGAGGGTTTTGAAGGGATGCAACAGAGAAGAAGAAGGAGGCAGGTTTTGAAAGAAGAAAGAAAAAGGTTGGGAGCATTATGGTATCCACCATAGCAGGTGAGGAACCAAGACATGATTCTGATTCCAACTTAAGCACACCAGGACCCAAACACAGCTGAGCCATTCTGGGAAGATTGTCTGTATTTATAAATACAGGTATAGGGAAAGCACACACACACACACAGTTTTCTACCAGGTGAAGACAGAAAAAACACGGGAGCACATTCACAGTACTTTGCCCAGCCTAGTTCAGAGCTTGGTGCTAGAGAAGACTGCTGAACACCCTTACCCAGAACGAAGCGGAAGCAGCAGGCCCTCAGGGAAGGGCTGGAGGGCCTTTCCCAGTCTGGCGGGAGGCACAGTGCTAGGCAAGCAACGCCAGAGCAGGAACACCGGGAAGCCCCTGGATTTGCAGGAACAGCACAAGAACCCCAATGCTGCCTGTACACTTTGAGGGTAGTTTTCACTAATGCACCCTATTAATTATAAACAACAACAACAACAAAAATCCTTCCTGTATTTAGAGATGCTATTGACACCACAACAACCTGGAGAGAACCACTGAACACAGCTGGTCTGTTTGGGAACTGCCTCCTAGGATGGTACCCAAACCAAGACCTGAACTGAGGAGAGGGAGAAAGGAGAAGAATGTGCTCAGGGTTAACCCTTTCCCCACCCTCTGTGACCCAGGAGGAGGCCGGGTCGGAAACGCGGGGAATTTCAGGTGTGCCCCCGCCGGGAGGTGGGGTGGGGGAGCCAGTGGACACTCCCCCCTCTCCAGGGACGTGGGCGCTTTCCAGGACGGTCCAGTGCCCCGGCGCATCTCGGGCGGACACGGGATCCTCCTCCCTGGACTGCGGAAAAGATCCTACTTTCCCGGACCAACTGCGCGCTGACGGATCCGGGACTCCGGGTACAGCCCAGACAGCTGGCTTAACTGCCGGGCCATTTCCCAAGCCTCCCGGTAAAGCCCAGCCCGGAGGGTCCCCCTTTTGTTCGCGGGCAGAGCGCGGCGCTGTGCTGCGCATCCCCCCAGCACTGGAAGCCCGGCCGCGGGGGCGCTTCCCTGGTTCGCTCTCTGCGTTCCCAGCGCTCCGGCGATCACCGGCTGTAGCTCACGGGTCCCCAAACGCCCCCCACCACGCCCGAGTACTCACTTCTCCCCAGTCCCTCCGCTTTCCACGCCGTCTCTTCCACTGCTCCATAGCGCCTCAGAGGCTTCTCGGCTTCCAAGTGGGTGGACAAAGATTGCTTTAACTCCATCGCTGATCCCAGCGGGCAGGTCGCCGGGTCTCCCTTCACTCCATCCCCGCCGCGGGCTGCAGGGAGGGAGGCGGCTCCAGCCAGCAGCGTTTTAAGGGGCCGGGCGCTCGTGACGCTGCTCCATCTCTTCCGCCGCCAGCGCCCGGGAGCGCCGCCTGGTACCCAAGAGGGGGAGGGAATGCAGAGCACATGCGCGATGGAGGCGGGCGAGGGGAGGAGGGCTGGGGGCTGGGTAGGGAGAAAGGGGCAGGTGATAACTCTAAGAACACCAAAAACCGGCACTAAAGCCAACCCAACCCGAAGGAAGTCAGAACAAGGCCCCCGCCCATACTGGACCCAGGGGCGATGCTTGGGTGGGTGGCTGTGGTCGGTCAGTGGGCTGCTAGGTTTTGAGTGGGATGGGTGAGCCCATCTCTGTGGGTGGTGGATCCATCTTTGTAGAGGGTATGCACAAATCTGAGTGTGGACCTGGATCTGCGGGGTCTGTGCAGTTTGGTGAGATCTGTCAGTTGAATTTGTGTGCCTAATGTGAGTATGCAGTGGGTCACTCACTGGATGCCTTACTGACTCTGTAACTGTTCTGTGTGGACTTGAGAGGGAGAAAGAGATGAAAATATTTCGGATGCAGCAGTGGCCCACGCTGTGGCCTAGCAAGAAAGAAAGCCGCGGCCTGCGGCAAGAGTTTGAGTCCCGGCTGCTCCACTTCCTATCCTGCTCTCTGCTGTGGCCTGGGAAAGCTATGGAAGGTGGCCCAAGTCCTTGGGCCCCTGCCCCAACATGGAAGACCTGGTAGAAGCTCCTGGCTCCTGGCTTTGGATTGGGGCAGTTCTGGCCATTGCAGCCAATTGGAGAGTGAACCAGTGAATGGAAGAACTCCTTCTCTGCCTCTTCCTCTGTGTGTGTGTGTAACTTTGACTTTCGAATAAATAACTACATCTTTTAAAAAGAAGAGAAAGAAGAAGTGGGGCAACCGGGACCTGAACCGGCGCCCATATGGGATGCCGGCATTGCAGGCAGCCACTTCACCTGCTATACCATAGCACTGGCCCCAGTTATGGAGTTTTGGGAATTTTTTAAAGAGGTCTTTAGGGTATGGGTTGTTGGTTTGTTGCTTGTTAGTGTTATGAGATGTAATGTGGGGGGAATTTTTGGTATCCACACGGTTTTGGGGAGTATAAATGGTCCAGTTCTTTAAGAAAATGATTTGGACATTAAAAAGTTATTATCAGTAATGAACTTCTAAATAACTCCTGGGAGAAAAAGGAAATACTGAAAATCATGAAATGTTTACACCTGTGTAACAGTGGAAGTTCCAGATACTGAGACATAAGTTTTGATATAAGTAAATGTACAGCCCTAAATGCAGTCATTACGAAGTGTGAGACCGGGGCCAGTGTTGTGGCATAATGGGTAAAATCACCACCCGCGATGCCCGCATCCCATGTGGGCGCCATTTCATGTCCTGGCTAGTCCACTTCCAATCATTAGCTCATTAGCTCAATGCTAACAACCTGGGAAAAACAACAGAAGATGGCTCAAATGTTTGGGCTCCTGCCACCCATGTGAGAGATCTGGGTGAAGCTCCTGGCTCCTGCCTTCGGCCTGGCCCAGTTCGGGTGGTTGCAGCCATCTGGGAAGTGAACCAGAGGATGGAAGATATATTCTCTCTCTCTCTCTCTCTCTCTCTCTCTCTCTCTCTCTCCTGACTTTCAAATAAATAAATAAATCTTTTTTTAAGTGTAAGGCTAAGTATATGGATAAAGTTTTCAACTCAAGAGATGTTAAGAAAAAAGGAACAGTTAACACCTAAGTGAGGTATGAAAAAGGAAGTGACAAGAGCATTAATTAAGGAAATAGAAAACAAAGAAGCAATATGTAGGGTCAGTAAACTAAAAGCAATTCCTGAGCCGGCGCCGTGGCTCAATAGGCTAATCCTCCACCTTGCGGCGCTGGCACACCGGGTTCTAGTCCCGGTCGGGGCACCGGATTCTGTCCCCGTTGCCCCTCTTCCAGGCCAGCTCTCTGCTATGGCCAGGGAGTGCAGTGGAGGATGGCCCAGGTGCTTGGGCCCTGCACCCCATGGGAGACCAGGAAAAGCACCTGGATCCTGGCTCCTGCCATCGGATCAGCGCGGTGCGCCGGCTGCAGCGGCGGCCATTGGAGGGTGAACCAACGGCAAAGGAAGACCTTTCTCTCTGTCTTTCTCACTGTCCACTCTGCCTGTCAAAAAATAAAAAAAAAAAAAAAAAAGCAATTCCTTAGGGAGGGGTGGCTAAGAAAGAAAGAAGTGATGGTAAAGATGGAAAGAGAAACATAAATACAGTATGATTTTTAAAATTTGAAGTAGCTAATTTTCTTTACAAAATCAAAATGTATATAAGAAATAAAAGAGCAAATAATTAATTACACAAAAATTGAATTGTTAATGTTGAAATTTATTTCCTTCCCATAAAGGCAACCAGCTCAGACTGTTTTATATGTGAATTTTACCAAGTAACAGATAATCTTTACTTGATAAAAATTGTTTCTAAAAAAATTGTTTCTGAGCTCATTTCATGTGGCTGATATAACCTTGATACCAAACTAGATTCAGGCTGCTCTGCTTCTAATCCCGCTTCTTGCTAATGTCCCTGTGCCTGGGAGGCAGCAGAGGATGGCTCAGATCCTTGAGTTCTTGCCGTCCACATGGGAGACCCAGGTGTAGCTCTTAGTTTAGGCTTGGCCCATCCGAAGCTGTTGCAGCCATTTGGAGAGTGAACCAGCAGATGGAAGAGCTCTCTCCCTCTGCCTGTCACTCTGTGCTTCAACTTTTAAAATAACAATGAAAAATTCTAGAGCTATCTCACCTATAAGCATAAGTGCAAAAAATTCTAAATAAAAATAATCATGTACAAAATTTGGTTTATTCCAAAAATAGAATGTGGTTACATATCAGAAAATCTATTGTTTTAATATACATTATTAATAAATTAAAAAGGAAAATGACTTGCTTATCTCAGTGAATGTAGAAAAAGCAGTTATAAAATTAGCAATCATGTATGTCTACATTTTTTCCTTAGCAAATTAAGAATAGAAAAATATTTCCTTCACTTTACAGAGAATATTAAAAATCTATGGTAAACATCTTGAGCTGAACTTCTAGTAGAATCCCCATCAAATTCAAGAACAGAACCAGGATGCCTATGATTCCCTCTTCTGGGAGGTCCTAGCCTAGTTAGGTAAGAAAAACAAATGAGGCATAAGAATTGAGAGAAGACACAAAACCTTCTTTTTCAGCAGTGTAACTTCTGAAATAAAAATGCAAGCAAATCTATAGATAAGTTATTCAAATGCCCAAGAGCAAGATTTTGGAAACAATATATAGGAATAAGGGCAGACATTTGGCACAGCATTTAGGTCACTGCTTGAGTGCCTGGTTCAAGTCCCTTGCTCCTCTGCTTCTGATCCAGCTTCCTGCTGGTGCACACACTGGAAGGCAGCAAATGGTGCCCCAAGTATTTGGCTTCCTACTACTCATGTGGGAGATCCAGATGGAGTTCCAGGCTTCTGGCTTCAGCCTGGCGCAGTCCAGGCTGTTGCAGCCATTTGGGGAGTAACCAGAGGATGGGAGATTTTTCTCTGTCTATCACTCTGCCTTTCATATAAAATGAAAATAAATATTTTTTAAGTTAAAAAGAATGGAATAGTAGTATTTCCAGACAAAATTATTAATTGAACTTAAAATATAATCATAATATCAAAAACCGAGTTTGAGGAGAAAATTATTATTTTATGTCATCTGAGACAGTTAACTAGTTTTATGTTGCACTATGAAACAGAAAAAAGAAGTAAAAATATAAGAAGTGAAAGGATGTATGAACCATGATAAAGGGTACAAAGAATCAGTATTGTAAAGAGGAAAATTCTCATCCATACAATTCCAGTTGAAACCTCAATAGGCAATAAGATTTTAAAATAAACTTTGATATAAACATAGAAGGACAGTGAGCCAGAAATAGGCAAGATAATGTTGAAGAAAATTAACAAGATAGGGAGAATTTAACTACTAGATATTGAAACTACTATGAAGCCTGAAAATATAGGAAGAGAATTGAGAACCCCAAAATAGACTCTAACAAAATGGAAAGTTGATAACATGCCAGAGGAGGTATTACAAATCAGCAGAGAAACAATGGACTACTCAGTAATGGTGCTGAGATAGTTGCCTATCCATACAGAAAACTAAGAAGAAGTCACCATCTTTATGAATTACCTATTCTGAATATTTTATATGAATGGACTCTACAATACATGACCTTTTGTGTCTGGCTTCTTTCCTGTGACATACTGTTTTCAAAGTTCATCCACATCTACCCAAATGGCCACAATGGCTGGAGCTGGGCCCATCCGAAGCCAGGAGCCAGGAGCTTCTTCAGGTCTCCCATGCTAGTGCAGGGGCCCAAGGACTTGGGCCATCTTCTACTGCTTTCCCAGGCCATAGCAGAGAGCTGGATTGGAAGTGGAGCAGCTGGGACCCAAACTGATGCCCATATGGGATGGCAGCACTGCAGGTGTCAGCTTTACCGACACAGCCACAACGCTGGCCCCAGCTGAGACTAATATTTCTTAAAAGAAATGTGAAGCATGTATGTTGAGATCTGTTATAGATGGTTGGTAGATACTATAACCCTATTGGAATGACTAAAAATACTGACAATACTAAGTATTAGTATGAGTATTAATAAATGAATTTGTAGTTAGTAAGAATGTAACTACAGTTCAGTACTGTTGGGAGTATAAAATGGCACAACCCCTTTTTAAAATGATTTGATAGTATCATCTAAAACTAAAAATATGTTTTCCCTGTCTCTCAGCAGTTTCATTCCCAGGTATATCCCAAAGAGAAATGAGTTCTGTGTCCACCAATGTTAGTAGAAACTTTACTCATAATAGCAAAAAGTGGGCCCAACCCAGGTATCCATCAGCAATAGAATAGACAAGTACATTGACATAGTGGAATACTATGCACCAGTCAAAAACTACTACCAAATGAATAAATCACAGGTATATAAATTAAAGGATGTGGATCACTTAAAATAAAAAATGGGCTTTTTGTCATGTTATTCTCTTTACTTTTATGTATGTTAAGATACTTCGTAATTTAAAAAAATAAAAAGTAGGGAGACCTGTTGGATCCAAAAGTTC